GGTTCAGTTACCAGGACCCACATATGATGCCTCACAACTGTCTGTTAGCTCCAGTTTCAGGAGATCTGATACCCTCTTCTGACTTCCACAGGCATTGCACAACACAGGTGCACTCACATACATGCAGGCAATGCACTCATACACATAAAATAATAAAATAAATATTCAAAGAAATAATTTAATAGATATAATTTTATAATGATCTAAGTACGTATTTAAATTTGATAAATAAAAGTATTTGAAATATTAGTTTAATTTCTAGCTAAATGCAAAAAAGAGAAACCAAAGAGAGATTAAAATTAGACATGCACAGATAAACAATTCTAGGCAGAAAGTGTAACAGCATTCTAAGGTCTATAACTATTGTATTTTTTCTTTATTTACTTTATTAAGGTTAGTGACTAATATAGCATTGAACTTTAAAAATTTATTATTTTTATTTTATGTGTATGAGTGTATTGACTGCATATATGTGAGTGCACCCGTGTTGTGCAATGTTGCAGTCAAAAGAGGGCTTCAGATTCACTAGGAACTGGAATTAAGGACGATTTGTAGCTGCCATGTGGGTGCTAAGAATTGAACCCAGGTCCTCTGCAAGAGCAGTCAGTGCTCTTAACTGCTGAGCCATCTCTCCAGCCCCACTATTGAACTTGATTAGCCACAAACCTTATAAAGCATAAGAGCAAACTTCTAAAATATAATAGTGGGTGGGTTGGCATTCATCCTACAGAACTTAGAGTCTCTTTACAGACTATTCTTGTGGACTGGTGAACTGTTTTTGAAGACAACTCTGAAAGAGATATGAAGAACAAGATAAGGGTATTCACAATGTCCTATACCACATTAAATATATTTTATGAGTTGTTATTGTGTCATTCTGACTGGGAAAATAAATAATCATCCAATGACTCCTCCTCTTTCATGTTTCAAGAATTATGAAGCAATAGAGGAGAAAATATATTAATTTTAGGTTTTTGTCAGGGTATCAAAGTTAAAGTTATAATTTTCATAAAATCTGAATGTCATTGATAAATAGAAATAAAAATTCATTTAAATTATGGAATTCCATTATATATAAACATCACCATACCTCTCAATTGTCACACATTCTATAGATATATGTCAAAAACTGGTAGCCAGGTATGTTGGTGCACACCTCTAATCCCAGCATCCAGGAAGCAGAAGCAGGTGGATCACTGTAAGACTAAGGCCATCCTGGTCTACATATTGAGTTCCAGGCCAGCTGTTGCTACAGGGAGGCCCCTAAAATCTGCCCACCCATCTCCCAAAAGCCTAACTGGTATCAAATTAGTCATGCTCTCTTTTCATTAAAGTTGAGACAATCATGGAATAAATTTTTTTTATGAATGAATGAATGAGAAATAAGCAAGATTGTGTTGTTACCTTTAAAAAAGCTTTAACTTGTGCCTTCTCATTCCCTCATCTCATGATAAAGTAGTAGATTGTTACAAAAGGTATTAATATAAAGTTTCATTGAACAAAGAGTGTACTGTTTTAGGTGGGACTTGTGACATTACTTCCTTATACACTTCATTGTCGGATTCAAATGTATAAATGTTTGGATGGTGTCACAAAACATTTAATATATAAAATTATTTGTAAGGCTGGGAATGTAGCTCAGTTGGTAGAGTGCTTACCTAATATATATGAAGCCTTGGGTTCAATCCCCAGTACCACATAAACTAGGTGTGGTGGTGCATGCTTATAATTTCAGCACTTGGGAGGTGGAGGCAGGAAAGACATAGGAGGAGTTTGTGGGGGACTGGGTGGGGTGGAAATAATGCAAAGACAGTACTCATGTGTGAAATTCTCAGAAAAAGGATAAAATAAAGAAACTCAAGGTCATCATCCTCAGCTACATAAGGAGCTTGAGGCCAGCCTTGGTTATATTAGGACCCTGTCTCCAAAATAAACAAACAAACACCCCAAATTATTTGTATGTTGTTCTTTAGTGCACAAAACATAATGCACATGAAATCCTCTGGGTTTTTGTTTTGGAATATGTGATCATTACCATCAATAATACAGAACAAGACAATCAAAGCAATTTCTGTGGGGCTGTAAAATAAGTTAAAATACATTCAGGACTGTTATGCTCCTCTGTGTTAAGTTTTAACTAAATATGAAGATTCCTAGTGACATGAATTCCTGAGAACACGCCAATGGTTACAGACTTAAAAAATCTGCTTGGTGGTTCTAATATTAATTGTATCTATAAAAGGTCTGTATGTAAGAATTATTTTATATGTTGATCTCTACAATCTAATGATTTCTTTTTCCAGTAAAATCTAGAGAAGTTATTTCATTGCCTTATTCTCAAATACATATATTTGTCTTTTTGAGACAGTTTCCCTGCAGCCCCAACTGGCCTAGAACTAGAACTAACTTTGTAGACCAGGTTGGCCTTGACCTCACAGAGATTCACTTACCTCTGCCTCCTGAGTGCTGGGATTAAAGGCGTGCACCACCATGCCAGGCCAGTCTCTAATATTTTTCTGTGATGTTTAGTTTCTCTCTATTTCTGCAGATTTGTGGTGAACTTTCATCAGTCTCTTCAGTGCACCTTTCATATCTCTGTTCCTTAGGGTATAGATGAGGGGGTTGAGACTTGGAGTGATGATGGTGTAAAAGAGAGTGAGGAACTTGCCCTGGTCCTTGGAGGCACTGTTACCTGGTTGCAGGTACATGTAGATAATAGTTCCATAGAATATGGACACAACAGTAAGATGAGATCCACAGGTATTCATTGCTTTTCGTTGCCCTGCCTTTGATTTCATTCTCAATACAGCTTTGGCGATATAGCCATAGGAAATAAGAATAAGGATGAGGGGTGTAAGGACAATGACAATGCCTAGAGCAAAAACAGACATTTCGACTGTTGTGGTGTCTACACAAGCTATCTTGACCATTGCGGGCAACTCACACAAGAAGTGATCCAGAAGGTTGTTTCCGCATCTAGGCAAATTCACTGTGAGTGTGCATAGTACCACAGAGTTGGCCAAACTAATACTCCAGACCATGACAATCATCTTGAGACGCAGACATGGGTTCATGATTACAAAATAATGCAAGGGCTTACAAATAGCAGTGAAACGATCATAGGACATGACAGCCAGGAGAAGACACTCAATGGAGCCGAGCCACATATACACATAGAGCTGAACAACACAACCCAAAGAGCTGATGGTCTTCTCAGGTCCCCACAAGTTTACCAGCATCTGAGGGACGATGCTTGTTGTGAAACACAAATCCAGGAAAGATAAATTCCTGAGGAAGAAGTACATTGGTGTGTGGAGTTGGGAATCCAGGAGGGATGCGAGAATGATAGCTGTGTTACCCACCAATGTAATAATATAGAAGATGGAAACAACGCCAGAGAGGATCATCTCCAGTTTGGGATGATCCGAGAAGCCCAGCAGAATAAAAACATGTAGACTACTGTAGTTACTTGGGTCCATAGTCTTTCAAAGACTGTATTCTACAGTGAAAAAACCTGAGGAGGAAGAGGAGGTGGAGGAGGAGGAGGAGGAGGAGGAGACTAATATGGAAAAGAACTGGTGGGCAGGGCAAGAGGAAGAACAAGAAATAATTATATCAGTGTAGACTATTAAAATAATTGGATAAAATATAAAATTAAATACAGGGAGAGAAATTAGGTTAATAATTTAAAAATTAATGGATAAAAGATGAAAATTACAGTCAGTCTTGTATCTGTTGAAGATTATTTGATAGTAGTGAGTTTATTAGAATTTTTTAAAATCTAGGTGACCTTGAATAATTTACTATAACTCAGGGTCAGGAATTTTTCACATGGAGGTTTGAAAGTTTGGACCTGCTATAGTTCTAAAATAGCATGATTCTATAATTTCTCATAAAACTCGTTAAAACATAGGAAAGATAGTCTTTTATTTGATCAGTGAATTCATGGATAAAATGTAACTATTTGTTAACATTAGATGAAAAGACCATTCTTCTTCTTTTTTCATTTCTGTGAGACCTTGATCTCCCAGTTTGTTATGAGATCTGGAACTTTGCTCTGGTCTTTTTATCTTTCTCATCTACTCAATTTTTTTTTACTGCTATATTGGACAAACTTGAATAAAACATATGCTAATTCTCTAATTTTTAAAAATTTAGGCTGCTATTACCCTAATCCAAGCCATTGTGACACTTTCACTTCATTCTCACAACAGTCTTCACTCCTTGATTCTAGTCTTCTGCTTTCCCCTATTGCAAAATTTACATAAATCTTGTCAGCCATGTGGTTTTTTAAACATCCCAAAGCACATCCCATTTAAAGCCTTACTTCCCCTTCTTTTTTGGATAACTCTTATTTTCAGACAACCTCTTAAAGTTCGGCAGATTTTACAGGCATATGTTAGAATTCATATATTCTTTTTGTTCTATAGATCATGTATGGAGAAATCTTACAGGGAGCCAGTATAACATGGAGATGAAGAACTTACATTCTGGAGTTTGAACTCCAGAAGAAAGATACTGACTGTGTGACAGAGAGTAAATACACAATACCTTACCTTTGAGACAAGACAGCAAAGATGAGTTTGTGATAGTTGCTATTTAAAAAAGAAATGTTCTCACCCTGTTTGATTATGGAATACAATGTTATGAAAGTTGTTAAGCTGAAGCTTTGACTGCTTAGGTTGAGTATGAATCACTTTGATTCATGTGTACTTTATGACCCTGAAGTCAGTGACTGTTCCTGGCCCTTCTGTCACTGTGCATTTGTAGTTTGACCATATAAATCTCAGAGTAGAAGAAGGAAATTTTTTGTTCTTCGAAATGTTAAGCCCTAGAAATCCATTTCTGTGACCTTTAGCCTAGTGTGTCTGAATTTACTTTCTTATGATGTATTTAAACTCCCCCTCCTATAGATTTGTGGCATGCCCTGTCTGGCGGAGAAGCAGCTCCTTCTTGCAGACCTGTATGACACTCACGTTTATATTATGAATATTAAATTCACATGCCTGATTGTATACAGGGCTTGTAATAAACTTTTATATTTTGCTATGAAACCATGATAAGGAAGCTACTCAGTACTTCAAAGGCACTTGAAAGAAGGATGCTTTTTCTGTGACTATTTCTTCTTTCCTAATTTTCACCCTTAAAAATAAATCTTCCAGCTGATTGTAGTGGCACATGCCTTTAATTCCAGCACTTGGGAGGGGAGGAGGCAGAGGCAGGTGGATCTCTGTGAGTTCGAAGCCAGCCTGGTCTACATAGTGGGTTCCAGGCCAGCTGGGGCTACAAAAGTCCCTGATTCTAAAAGACCAAAAAGCAAAGCAAAACAAAACAAAACAAAACAAAACAAAACAAAAAACTTCCATTCATGTCTCATTCCTGCCAATTCTTTACTGTGTGATTCCAGACAAGGTCAGAGCACTGCTAAGCTTATTTTTCATCAATGAAAAATGGGAACAACGATGCCTAGCACGGAAGTAAAAATCAAATGGGTAACAAATGCAAGTGGCTTAGAATTTTTCAGGAACACAGCATACCTGGATAATCTTTAGTTACTAGAATTTCTAGAAGAGTAAGTAATAATTATGCAAAATGTGGGTTAAGATTTTTAGGTACTTCTCCAAACACTGGTCTAAAAGCTCTGAGAAATCAGATATGTCTGGGGTTCTTCACTGTATGTATTATATCTAAAGTATATCATTCCAGTAGGTTTTTCTATGATTTTTTAAAACAAATGAAAAAAACCAATCTGTAAATAATATTAGAAAATCATATAAAGTTACCATTTTTTACAATAAAAACTTCTTTGCATTTTATCATATTACTTGACATGCTGATAGGAAGTAGCAGGTGAATGATAGTGATTTTGTTTACAAAGCATGCTTATTCAGCTGAAAGTATTTATAACATTAGTCCCTACTTAAAGGACTAATGAGCTCACAATTCAATAGAAGTACAGAGATATACTCCCTCTAGATACACATGAGCATCTCAGAACTGCCAACACATGACAAGCAGATGATCAGTATTCAATGTCAGTTGTTATAAAGATAACTCAGCATCTGGAGAAAAAATAATACCAGCTGTATCTGACAGTGCTGACATACTTTTAATAGAAGGGTAGATCTTTGATAGTATTTGTATCACACATATAAAAATGATACATAAAGATTGCAGAAAGAAGCTTCTAAAGGTGATGGATAGGGTTGTGACAAAGACTGTGGTGATGGCCTCATGGGTATATGCTTATCTTCAAACACACCAGGATATGTACATTAAGTATGTATAGGTTTTTATATGGCAACTCTAGTCACAGAGTGATAAAAATGAGAACATATTTTGTTGAAAAAAAGCCCCAGCTAAATATCAAACTGGTGCTCTCATGCCTCTCCTTGTCTGCCTCACTACATAGATATAACAGAAAAGTTGTGCTTTTTGTTAGTCATGACCTTTCAAATATTTTTAATAAAGATTATGAGGAAATTACTTCAAATTCTTGCTATGATTAAAAAGTGGACAGATTTAGTAGACTAACTGGCTGCATGGTTGAAAAAATTATTTTGAGAGAGTCATTTCATGATTGTTGATCATTAGTTCTTCCCAGTTAATCATTTGAGCCTGAGTTCTGCTATTGATCCTATTGGACACAAAGAAAATGATTCTCTGAAATGTGTTGCAACCTGTCATGTGCAATTACAGTTCTATGATGTCTGAGCAGAGAAGTAGACAGTTGGTACATACTTATTTTGACTGGCATGTTGGTGTGCAAAACTAAAATGTTCTTTGAAGTCAACCTCATGCCCTTAATTTCTTAATAATATTCATTATCACTATAGCCCAGAGATTAATTTAGGAAAGAATAAAAATCTTTCTGCCAAATAAAAAAAATCATACATAAAAACTTCACATTATGAGACTTATAAGTGAATTAAAGATTTCAATCCTGTCTAACTACATATTTCAAGAATAATTTTTTTTGGTCTTTTTGAAATAGGGTCTCCTTGTAGCCCCAGCTGGCCTGGAACTCACTATGTAGACCAGGCTGAACTTGAACTCACAGAGATCCATCTGCCTCTGCCTCCCGAGTACTGTGATTAAAAGTCTGTGCCACTATGCCTGGCCTAAGAATAAAATATTTAAAATTTTCATTTTCAATTTAATCTACATTGCCATTTTACATTTCTGCTGGGTCAAAATGTTCAAAATAAAAAATTAAGACACAGCTTCATGTTTTTCTCTTGTAATAATAAATTTAATTTTTCCTTCATATCATCAAAAGGGGAAGAATTCTCTGTAGAAATTTACAATATTTATTCTCAGACCTATAAGCAGAAATCTGAATAATTGCAGACTTAAGTTTAGGTTCTTTTCTTGTATTTCTCACACATTCTTTTTATCAGCCCAGGCACATGATTTTCCTGGAGTACTAAAGATTAATTTTATTGTGATCATGAAAATTTCGCTGGTGTCCTACCTCTTCAACACTGGGGTCCAGGATGTAGGCTCTGTTTAAGTGTTCCCTCTCCGGGGCTGCAGCCTCTTCATCATCTCTCACAGTTCCTTGGTGAGCCAGCTCTTCCAGACTGGGTTAAGACAGAAATTCTCTGCAAGACGCTGCGTTCCTGAACACGTGACTCCAGGCCAGGGTTGAAACTGTCATAGGCTCTTTCTGCTTGTTTTGCCTTTAGATGGACATGGAAATGGTCTTGATTGCAGAGAAATGTGAAAAACAACCAGAAAATCCAGAATAAAAAATGAGCAAAACTTTCCAATCTTGTCTCAGAAACCCAGAAAACCAAGAAAGATTATTTAAATCATGTGGACTTCATCTAGTTGATTTTTCTAACGTGTTACAGAAAAGACCAGTCAATGAACCAGTGGGAAGATGTGATATTTCACTAAGATTGTTTTAACAAATGGAAAAGTCGCACAGTGTGCAGGAATGCTGAAGGACAATGAACTGAAAAATGTGTCTTCAGAATACTTTTCTAGGCTATGAATGCATTGCAAATAAAATTTGTTCTCTTTAAGTGCACCTTAACTAAGATTAAGGCAAAAAATTAACTCTGTAAAATAGCCTTACCATTACACCATACACTGGTTATAAGAATGAGCTGGCTTTGCGAAGATATAACTTAAGTAAGGTACTTCTTCATTTTCAGTCATCTACATTTTGCTCTTATATTCTCAGTAGTTAGCTCAGTTACCCAAGTTCAAAACAGTTGCCTCTGAGAGAGAAGACATAGACTCCAAAGCCCCGAGCAATACATTCAGGATCTTCATATTTGTATTTTCATTCAGTTGTCTTGGTGATCATGAGATATGATTAAATACTTTAGTGCCTATTACTGTTAGGTTTGTTGTTGTCTCACAGGACACTTATTTAAACACTAAGTATCCAAAGATTTTTATGAGTTAATTTGTAATTAACATCTATAATATTTCTTGAATTATAATTACATGTTACTAATAACTACTTTAATAAAAGGAGCACAACCTGGGCCTGGGGAGATGACTCAGTG